TATATATATATATATATATATATATATACACACATACACATGATAGACTGATTAATAGTTTTGCAGGTGTCTATGGTTATATATACTGACATCTATGTGGATGCAACTATCTCTTTAGCTCTGGAGTTTCTGGTATGACATTTTTATGAGAACAAAAATCACTCAAGTCCTAATGCACACATGCAAACATACACACACATTCACATATATAAAACCAAGCCTTAATGGAGATTTATTCCTTTAATATCCCAAAGGAAAGGGAAATTCCCAGCTTAAAAAAGCTTGTAAATTATTTATGACAGTAGTTTTGTTTGAGACATTTCTCTTTTCTGAAAGGAGGAGATATTAGGAAAGGACACTGAGCAGACTCCTGTCTTGTATCCCGGCTCACAGATAACAGACCTGGAGAGAAAGCCAAGAGTTCTGGCCCTTCTTGGCAGATATTTCAGGGCCATCTGTTCCTTACCCCTTGGTGTGAAATGTTTCTTCTCTCCCTAAAGCGTTTGTTCTCACAATGTGAGGCCTTTTGATCTCAGAAGAGCACATTCTATTTAAAAAAAAAAAAGGAAGAATGAAAGAAAGAAAAAAAGCTTGAAAATTTCCTTACTTTCAACTCCACTTTACCCCTTGTTATGAACTTCTTTCCCCACAGAGCTGATTGGGGCTAGAAGTGTGAAACCTCTCTGCAACTCAATGTCTGGGGAAATTCTTGCCCTAATAAGGGTACTGTGAGGCTGTAAAAAGATTTTTTTTTCTTTTGACACAAAACATGGGATGCCCTAAAACTGAAGAGAAGATGAAGTCAAACATTTTTTTTCATGTTTATCCAGACCTCATCCTTCATACATCATGATAAAGAAGTCATTGGTTTTGTAACAAGAGGCAATACACATTTGTGTTTTAAAAGAAATCTTACCAATTATTCACTAAATAATCACCAATTATTTCATGAAGCAAATCACAAGTGATCTCTAGTTTCCTACACTTTCTGTTACATAGGCCCTGACTTAGCAAGGTGCCCAGGTTGAAACATATGAATAATCACCCTTATTCAGCTACCAACTTGAACATGTTCTTAACATAACTCTCTGAGTTCGCTAATAGTCTGTCTGGAATTGATGGCCCTGCTTAAAGTTAAGGCCCTGGTTTACTAAGGATGGACTTATTTAAAATTTGGCAGCAATGTGTTGCTGAACAGAGGCTTAAGGCAGCCCACTTATTTTTTCCTAATGTTTTCTTTTAATGCAAAGAGGTTTAAATGAGCTCAGCAAATAAATAAATAAATAAATAAATAACATAGGCTATGCGGGCAAAAAAGGTGAAGGCTACAGGTGAAGAATTTTCCACAGAATGTGAGCAATCAGCCTTCATTCCCATAGTATCATATTGTAAGCTGGATTCTCTTGGCCTTACTCATGTACCTTCTGGGTAGATTTGTGGTCTGTGGAATTTCTTACAAGCTCAGGCAACCAGGGCAGATCTAATTGCAAGTTCTAGTCCCATATCCACAAAAAGTGGCACTGACTTTGCTGGGTACTGTTTACAGATTGTGATGATAGTCAATGTGAGTAGGGGTATCTGAACCTTATTCCAATAATCTGCAATACAAATAAATTGTATTGTGAAAGAACTGCACTTCCAGACTGCTGACTCATAGTGGTAGGCACTGTGCAGACACATCAATGAAAAGATGTCCCCTCCCTCCAGAAGTTTATAATTTGTCTTTGCAGGATTGGGGCCTGAGCTAATGTAATACCTGGATTTAACCCAAGTGACCTCTTGATCTAGAGTCTTCATCTCTGTGCCATACTTTCTTTGTATCATATTTAAATTAAAACAAATACTCTACCATGAACTGTATCCACCCTTCCCCTCTCTTTAATCTCTCTTTTTCCCTTCCCTTCCACCCCGCATCAAAAAAAATTAAAGCTGATAACTTTTCAAGTTTGCTTTATTCTTTGAAGCAGGTGAGATGCTTCCCAAGAAGTCAGCTCCAGGGGAAGGGAAGCAATTGTGGAAGTGAGTATACAAAATGTTTTCTTGCTCTTAAGAGGCCTCACCTATCCTTTCAGTTTACACTGATTAGACAGCTTCATTTCAACCCCAGCCTTCACATGGACTTGTTCAATATTTACTCAGGCTGATAGGTTTGCTCAGAGCTTTCCTCCATCAGCATTGCCCTGCCGAGTCCCCTTCCCCTCAGGCCCAGGTTCACAGAAAGTTCAGGCTGAAATGAATTCACCAAAGGATGGGCCCAGCCTGTCCTAAGGACCAGAGATGGGGTCAAGCCTAGGTCTCTGTGCCCCACTAGTGCCTTGCAAGGCCCAGCACTCAGCACTCCAGGCAAGGAGTCTGCTTTGAAAAATTATTTTGAGTTAAAAAAGAAAAGCACTGGCTGGTAAGAAGAGAACACCAAGCATATTCAGGGGTAGCCTTTCAACGTACAGAGCAGAGGTCAACCCCTTCAGGGAAAGGCAAGAATAGTTCATGAACATTAAATGTGCTGGGGGGTCTG